CAATCAATGGTGTTACTTTTCTTAAAGGTTGCAATGTTATACTTCCCATTCAATACCTACACTACTCACCAGAATATTGGGATCAGCCATATGCATTTAAACCAAGCAGGTACTTGAGAATTTAGAGAATTATAAATAATGTTTTGTTACCATAGGTTTAGTCCAGAAGGCAAGGAGGGTAGGAATCCTTTGTCTCATATTCCATTTGGTTGGGGACCAAGGAGTTGTATTGGTATGAGGTTTGCACTAATGGAGGCTAAAGCATGTTTAGTAAGTATATTGAGGAAGTATAGGTTTGAAAGATCACCTGATACTCAGGTTAGGTTTATTGTACATGCATGTTTGTTATGATGCTACATGTGCTTTTATAGGTGCCACTAAAGTTCAAGTTGGGCATTTTGCATTTACCAGTGAATGGAATTTTTCTAAAAGTTAAAGACAAATAGATGACTTTTTAAAGTTTTTTTATATGCCTGAAAATATGAAATGAAGTATTTTAATTTACAAAAATACAAAATTGTAGGTAGAAGACTATGTAGGTAGTAAATCTCTAGGTTTAAACTAGTTTATACTTCTTCCTATTCAAAGGTCACTACTCTCTTGCTCATGACATCTCTTTCCTCAGAATCACAATGCATATATAGTTCATTTTTGATGAAATATGGCAAAATTATATTTTAAAATAAAATGGTACTTCCTATGTTTCATTACAAGTATACTCTTTTTCACTTCCTGTGTATTCTTGTTCACACCTCAAGGCACTTCCTGTGTTTAATTAAAATTTACAAGCAGTCTTGTTTGCACCTCAAGGTGTAAACAAGTAGTAGAAATATATTCCTAGTTGTCTTGGAAGTATACTTCAAGGTGTGCAGTCCATGACGTATGTATTGTTGTGATAATAGCAATGAATGTTGTGTAACAACACATGCTCCAGTTAACTTAATAACAATAAAAACTACAGTTATAGCTGTATGATTACAGTTTATGTAGCTTTCAATGTTAACATTGTGAATGCGCCAGTCTTGATTAAAAATAACGATTAAAAATTATTAAGATTCAAAACTAACAAAGTAATGTTATTATAGAAACAGGAGTGAGGAGTAAACATATTATCAGTTCATGATTGTGCATCATCCTTTGCTTGCTCTATATCTATGTATCTTTGATAGTAATCCTCGGCAATCTGGTAAATATTAGCATCATTGTCTCTAACACGGTACTTATAGCGTTTAGCCAACAAAAAGAAGATTATTATTATAATACAAACCGTGATGCTCTCAGTTAAGTATAAGTTAAAATTTTTGCAAATGAATCTACCCTCACAATCAAATGAGAATTTGATTATGGTGCTTATGAAATAGCCCACACTCCAAGAAGCAATCCACATTGAGACCATGATCCCTCTCATGTATACAGGAGATTGAGCTACAGTGAATTCTAGTGAAGCTGGAACTATCAAAGCACATGCAATTGCCTGTAGCAACCCTCGTGGTATAAACAGTAGCTTTTGTACATAATGAATCTCATGATCGGTATTAAATAGGATAGTTTTGAATACAGTTGATCCCAAAGCAAATATCAGACCAAGTCCCATTCTAACAAGCATACTTGGTATGTACTTACGACAGCACATTCGAAATACAAATAAATATAGTAGTAGGAGAACAGTATTGATGAAGAAAAAGACTGATTCAAGTGACAGGAAGCAGGATAAGGATTTATCGTTTGCTATTAAGTTTGTGTGTGCATTTGATGTGTGATCATCGCTACAGGCAAACCCAACCACTCCAATCAGTAATGGAAGTATGCGAAAAATGGTCTTAACATCTTCTACCTCTTCCTCGGTGAAGGGCCCACCATATTTCTCCTTTGCTAGATCCAATCGTGAAGGAGTCTCATTCACCCAATAGGTCAAAGCACTTCGACTCTCAGGATACTTGTGCTTCCTGGCATAGCACAACACTTTGACTATGAGTTTAATGGGGTTTTTAATAAGAGATATGTTCTCTAGCTTGTGCTTGAACAAGGAATGAGAAACCATTACAATAGCTATTGCTATACCTGATGTAATGAATATGGTATAATATTTGTCCAGTGGACTGCATTTCAGAGCATGAATGAAGCAGCGTGTGATAGGTACAGCAGCAGAATGCCAGCAGATTATAGTGCTCAGCTTATCAGCCGAAGCTCCAACAACCTGATCAATATTGTACTGAATAGCGTTTACTCTAAAGTTGGAGTAGCCAGCTAATTGAAATAAGAAGGCAATGCTCCATATGGTCCACAGGATTGGTTGATTAGTATAGAGAGTATAAACAATAATTCCTATGCCTCCTATGATCCATGCTACAAAACACAAGAATATACCATACAAAATAGCTTTATGTCTTCCAATCCATACATCAGCTAAAACTCCAAAGAATGGAAAAAGTAGAAATCCCAAGTAAGATGTTACCAATTTGACATACCACTGTATGGAGGGATCTGTAGTAGTGTTCATTGAGAAGCGAAAGAGATAGTTGTGCGAATACATGAGGTAGTCCCAGATGAGGACTAAAAGAGCTGGAAATGAAATAAGTAGAATTTGCTTGGCTCCTCGAATCATAATGACTGAAACCTCTCTACCAACACTCAGTGAATAGCTAATAAATATAAAAATTAGTTTCAATTTCAGTGTTGATTGTTGATAGCACTGGGACAGCTTGTTAATAAACGGAGTTCCAATACTGTTTTTAACTTACATGCAAGTATACTGAATATTAATAATTGTTTATAAAATGCAATGCACTGTCGTTACACAATGGAACGATAATTTTATGACAATTGGGAACATTAGTATTGATAAGATTCAAAAACATGGACACAGTAAATAGACTGAAATTATAAAAAATAACGTTTATTATAAGTGTTTAATATACCACTTAGTGACAGTATCATCAATTTTAGGAACCAATAAAGGAGGAGGAGGAGGAGGAGGAGGAGGAGGAGGAAGGGAAGTGGCTATTGGAGTATCAGTAGAGTCATTAACATTAGGAGAGGGTTCAGGAAGAGGCTCATCTATTGCTTCATTACATGAAGAATCATCCTATATAATAGGCACACAATGAACTTTATCATGTTTTGACTATTAAACAACTCACTTCATCATCACTAGTTTGATGTATAGCTGTGCATTTCCTTACAGCATTAACTGATGTGCTCTCAATGTATCCAATCCGTTTATAAAAGATATGCTGATCATTAGTTGACAGATGCATGGTAGTATACCCTAGTCTAACAATAATAATGTACTTGCATAATGTACAATGTATAATGTGAAGCTTAATACCTCTTTACATGTGCTTCAGCTGCTTCCATTAGGCGACGTCCAAAGCCACACCTTCTCATGTCAGGTGAGATGACGAGTGATTCAATAAGTCCAGCATTACTTCTATTGGCAACTTTGAATATCCTAACAAATCCAATCACTCTCTCCTTGTCTTTTGTTATTAGTAGGAGAGATACAGGTAGGTCAGTCTTGCTATCAGAAATGGAGTGCTTCCTATGTATGGTAATGAGAATTTGGTTGATTAAGAAATTTGAAATCAAGGCACAAACCAATAGTAATTATTTAAGAAATACTAACGAAATCTACAATAGCAATTATATTTATGTTAATTTGAAACAAGCAGCACATTAATACAGGGTTTCCTGCAAAGCATGCTAAGTGAACTAAAAGTATGCTTCATGAACTGACAAGCACTAGATCTACAATACAGTACATGGCATTTCAAGCAACTTAAAATTTTTTTTGAATTCAACTTTGGTTAAAATCAGCTCAAACGTGCTACACAACATAAGAACATGTACATGCATCAGAAAAAAATATAAAAATGAAAAATTTCCTTAACAAATTTTGTCGAAATTTGGCCAAATACATACATTGGCTAAATTTTTGAGTCACTTTCAAAAATTTGTAAAAAATCCAAAATTGGTTGCAATTAGCTCAAATTTGCTTCACAAAATTAAAAAAACATATATGTATCAGAAGAAATTATAAAAATGGAGAATTCTCTCCTAGTCATTTTTGGCAAAATTTGGCCAAGAACCGGCTAGGGCCCAATTTTTGACTAATTTTAAAAATTTGTAAAAATTTAATTTTGATTGAAATCAGCTCAAATTTGGTACTGTCTTAAAAAGTGTGTGGCCAAAATAACAGCAGTTACGGCACACTTCATGTGCCCTCAGCACCTCCCTTTTCAATTTCTGGATATGCCCCTAAAATAGGCTAGGAAATAATTTTCCATTTATTGAAGTCATTCCCATCAAAACATAAAAAGTTGTTTTAAATTTGGTATTGCAATGGCTAATAGCAACAATTTTCAAATTTTATAAACATTTTGATACTTCATTGACTTGTTTTTTAAATTTTTTAAAAAATTATTATAACTACACTAACCTTGCCTCTAAGCTTCTAGGCCACTGTTCATTGAGAAGATGAGCTGCTGGTTCAAGGAGATCAGGTCTAAACTGAAGCTCTAGTACCTCATAGTCATCAGCCATTTGCATGTAAGAAGCCACATGACCACTATCACCACACCTAAGGCTAAAGTATACACACACCACCTACACACTTGTGCTAGACAAAAATGTTTTTTATAGATTTACTTTAAATAAAAGTAACAAAAAAGCACTCATCATTAAGAATAATTAATAGCATAAACTAGCAAATTCATAATAGTCATTAATTTTAGGCTGCTACTTCTTCTTTTTTTTAAACAATCCTACTAACCATTTTGATGGTTTTTTAATCACGGTATCAAAAGCTGCTCTACATGCATCAGCAACATATTCACCAAAACCTCTTCTGACAGTCTCAACGGCAACTTCCTTGACAAGAGTGGGATGAATGTGAATATCTTGGTCCACAAGATGATTAGTGACCTGAACAGATTTACTAACAGAAACTGATGGCTGAACAACTTCTCCACTTGGTGATATGGATTGTAACTGCAATGGAGGAGTTGCTTCTTTTGTTATTACTGCAGGAGTTGGGGAACACTTTGGAGGGGGTGGAGGAGGTATTGGCTTGTAGGTGGCCCCTGGCTTTAAGGCATCCATTGGAATAGTAGGCAGTCCATAGCTACTCTATTGTAATTAAAATGAAACATTGAATTATGCGTGATGGATTACTTCTTTCATTTTTGGACGGACTGGTTTTGGGGCAACAGTTGGTGGAGGAGTCTATATTATTAGGAAAACAGAACAATCATGATACATGATATGCCATAAAGTTGTGCATGTTGTAAGCTATTGCATACCTTATTTGTGGGTGTTGGATTACGATTTGAAATTGCTAGCTAAACAAATGATACAATTCTTTAGTTATTACTCTCAGTTTGTATTTCTATACCTGTGGGGGTTCAGCAGGTTCTGAAGCACGTCTTGTCCTTGTCATCTTAATCTATACAAGTTCATTACAATATTATAGCATGGGCCAAATTTCTATTATACTGGTACTTCTTTCTTCTTTGTTTGATCATGTTGTACCGGTACTTGATAACTCTATATGCACATGTACACAGTGTCTTAATTCTTTATAAAATTTCAACTCACTGATAAAGGCCTAGGTTTTATAGGTTCTGGAATCTTCTGAATATTTGAAAATAAAAAATTAAGTTACATGCAGTTTGTTTAGTATATTACCCTTTCTTCTTCAGATTTCTGCTGAAGTTGTATGAAATTCTATAAGATACAAGATATAGATTGTGTTTAAGCTTATAATTGTGCATTTTTATTTTTAGATACTAACATTACGAGCAGATTTGAATCTTTCAATTGTCTTCAATTTCTAGGGAAGTTGTAATGATCATAATGATGATAAGAATAATAATAATGCTAAGACTATTATAGCTATTACTTCTTCAAGGTCCTTTTTCTCTTCTTCTGGTGACAAGGCCTATATTGATGATAGTTGGCAATTGCTATAAAATATAAGATACTGACTTTAAAAGGCTCTTCAGTATCATCTTCTTCTTCATCAGGATCATCATCATCACCCTCATCTTTTGCAACCATACAATCACTGTTTATTTGAAGGAAAAGACGTGTTTCTTTAACTCGCAGGCAGCATGCTTCCCAAAAATTATTAAACCAGTTGTAGCGATCAGGAAGACGAAGAGGCTCTTTGTTCTTCCGGGACTTTTTGTTGTCTCCAGTTGGTATGACAGGAATTTTTGTAGCAATCTTTTTGCTCACTCCAACTTCATCGATGAGGAAATTTTGTAGCTCTTCCTTCCATAACTCCAACCGTCTCATGAATCTTCTTTTTTCTAATTCTTTCCATCCCTCCTCATCATCATCATCTGGTTCTTCCTCATCAGCATCTCTGTCATCCTTTCTTGTGACATTTTCAAGGTTAGCAAAAGTGAGGACAAATACAGAATAGTTCCAGAAACCTTCTCCAAAAGCCTTTGTTAGCTTAACCATAGCATTCTTGTCATCATCAGTTAATCGAGTGTTAATCATCTTAGTGCAGTAGAGGACTAAACTAAGCTCTTTGCATGTTTCTCTCATTCCTTGTATGTACTCCTCTTCATTTGCTGTGCGATCTTGTAAGCCAGGAGAATCAAAAACTTTGACTGGTACTCCTTTGATGGTTTTTGAAAACATTTCAACCTGAGTTGTACATCTCTTAGCACCAGCTCCTTCAGCAGCAACACAAGTACCAAGAATGCCATTGATGAGGGTAGACTTTCCTTGACCTGTCTTTCCAGTGACAAGTATCCTCAATTCCCTTTGATGTGCCCAGGCTCGCCTCAATAGAGACTCAAGAGCTTTACCTGCATCTTTTTGCAAATCTAACAAGTGCCGTGGAGCATTCACAAGAGCTCTTCCAGCCTTTGAAAAAGCACCAGTAATTTGTTTGACCCTATTGTTATAAAGAAATTCAAATCGGTTGTAATCATTAATTACTTTCCATCTGGCTTTTTAGGCTTAGTGGACTTAGACTGTACTAGCTCTGCCATGATTCCAATTTCCAAACTGTTGAGTTGAGCTTTAACTAGTCTATATATAGATCACTATTATAATACAAATAAAACAATGTAAGTAAAATCTAGCCATGATAATTGGTTAGAACATGCATGTCATCAATTTATGGCTGCATGCAAATTATACTTTAGCATGCAAATTATACTTTAGAGAGCATGCACTGTGAAAGAAGAGCGCGGTAGAATTCGAGCCCAATCTCACACCACGATTTTTCGGCCAGGCCAATTGGTCCTAAAGACCTATATAGCTCATCAGGGATCTGGGTTTAGGCCACATATGTTATGATCTGAGGCTTTGCTAACCAGTGCAAGCAAAACTATTAGCTACTTGTTCTGTACAGTACTGAGTTTTACAATAAATAAGACACTAGCTAGAGATCTACATTAAATTATTGAAAACTGACTGAACCTACAAGGCTGTGCTTGAATAGCAGTTGACCTCTTTAAATTAGAGCTATCTTCAGTTTGACACCAGACAAGAATTCTTAGGCAATGAATCTAGCTGCACTCTGCCACCGCTTTATATAGATTATTTTAGTAAAATAATTAAAATACCAACCACTCCCATAAAACCACACAACTGTCAAAAATTAACAGTCTACACGAAGGCCCTACACTTCTCTGAACACCGGAAGTGCAGGAAATCATATGGTTTCACTCATGCTGTAATGGATACCCATACTATTTTACTTATTTCTCTTACATAGATACTTAAACAGTGCTGTAACTAGCACCATTAAAAGAGGAGAAGTTGCTTGTTATAAAGAAACAAGTTTGGTTCTCATGTGCGAAGTTTAAGCAAAGATATGCCACCGTGAAAATTATTTGTTTAATAAGAATTGTTTGACTTTGATTTTTGTGCAAATCATTCACAGACTACCTGGAACCTCTAAAGTCTTTCCATAGACTTAGGAAGGTGTAGTCTACATGTCCTGCTAGTTTCAATCTTAATGGAGCAGATATAACTGTAGAAAAAGTGCCGTAAACTTGGTCACAATTAGGCGACCTAAAATCCTTGATATACGAGAGCTGTTCTCTTTATTTTACCATATACAGATAGAACCAACTCTCCTCCTTGCTATTATTAAGAATGAGCTTCATCTGTGCTTCTGTTTAGGAGATACACATCTACTTGCACAGCCACCATCTTCACTTTTTAGCCACAAAGCAACTTTGATTTTTGTGCAAATCATTCACAGGGGTGCGGGGCCTTTGCCAAAGGGTCTGGTACTGTACTTACCTTTGCTTAATACATTGTGAGACTCCTCAGTTGCTGGGTCTTATTTTATTCAGGTAAATTTCCCCTCAAAGTTGCTATGTTTTTCAGAAATTGCCTAATTATCAGCTTATCAGCTACACGTGGTTCAAATTTCGAATGATTTTAATTATATTCATAAGCCATTGGCAATGAATATCATTTTATCAGTGACGTATCAGGAAGTGAAGCCATAGAGGACCCGTTCACAATTGTGTAGGGCCTTCGTGTAGACTGTAAATGTAAAATCAGAGCCTCTTGCCCTCTTCTTATTCTTCATGAATTAATAGATTCTGAAACAAGCATTAAGCTGATCTATAGCAGGAACTTGACCTATAATGTATGTATATGTATATAAAAAATATGATTTCATCAAAGATATTATGGCCCGGTTACCTGAGGCTGAGGGCTGCACTGCTGCATGTACCTAATATGGTACTTTAAGTTCCAAGCAGGTAATATAAACTATATAGAGAAATGAAAATAAAAAGCACATCGTGGCTCTTCATGAATCTCTTCTCATCTCCTTCCAGGCTTGTCATAACAGCATGTGAAACATTAGAATTACTACTATTGTTGTGACAGATGTGGTGTGTGTCATATAGGCTATCATAAAAATCAGTCAGGTGAGCCTGACCCTTTATAGGTGAGCCAGGCTATAAGTCCCTCTTTATTAACAAAGTCATTTTACATTAGGATAAATCAATGAGAGCTAGCTTAATTAATGACCTAATTTAAGGCACTCTGTGATCATTGAAAACAAGAGAAAGCATTATTATAAGCTTTTTTATTTTCCTTTCTCATAAGTTTCCCCTCTCTTGAAGCCTCTTCCATACACTCCAGCTGTCTCTCACAGCACAAGCACATTGATAATAATCAGAGTGTATATAAAAAATAATGGAGATTCCTTTTGTACCCATATTTTTGTAAATCTAAAATTAAAACACATGATAATAATAATTATTTTACATACAGTACATGAAACGACATGCAGATGGTATCAATACTTAGGCATGCAAACCTGGTGAGTACAATAAAGCAAAAAAGGAGATGCTAAACACTGCTGTATAGGGTATGACAATGGTAATACAATTACTATTGCCTGTAATGACATCTTATCCTATGGATTGACTGTAATAATTAGAGTAAGTGATAGTGGCCAGATAACAATTATATACTCCACTTCAACTCCAATTACATATTATGAGGTTGGTTGTCTTTGAAAATATAGAGTAAAATATATGCTTATCAAAGATTAGTGTATGCTGAGATAAACCACATGTATACAATAGATACAATGCATATCACTACATCTCAGTACATGTATAAGTAAAATACTTTGCATGTGTCTTGGCAAGCTTTCATTTTATCACCAAAACCATGCTCCTTCAAAATAATGACAAGTGGATCAATCTGCATGCCTAACATGTAACTTTATTACAATTTTGTCATACAAATTGAAAATAAGACGATTATGTAAAGAGTAAAGACACTAAAGCAGATATTATTATCATTATTAAAAGAGAGATAATTATGGCTACACACAGCTGTAGGGTTATCATTGCTGATATGATATAGTTAGTACACGTGTAATTACAAAATGCATCTTATCTCCAATATCCCTCCCATTCATACACCCACTTTTGCACTAATTTACAAATGTATGTCATGGTCACTCTTGGCCTTAAATATTTATTTTATTCAGATTTCAGAAACATGTTACACATACTGTATGCTATAAAATACCTTGTCTTCACATGCTCTGCTTCTAAAGCCACATTAACTTCTCATGTCATGTCAGGTGAGATGACGAGTGACTCAATGAGTCCAGCATTACTTTTACTAGCAACTTTGAATATCCTAACAAATCCAATCACTCTCTCCTTGTCTTTTGTTATTAGTAGGAGAGATACAGGTAGGTCAGTCTTGCTATCAGCAATGGAGTGCTTCCTATGTATGGTAATGGGAATTCTGTTGATTAATCAAAAAATTTTGAAACAAAGACACAGGCACAATAGTAATACTCTATTATAATATAATAGGAGTAATATTTCTGTCAAGTTTCTTTCAGGATTTCAAACAAGTAGCACATCAATATGCATGTAAATTAAATTATGATTTTGAAGGAGTTGCTACATACAGGGATTTTGGCCAAATTCCAATTATTCCATCAAAAGTGAAAAGGAGAGAATTTTGCATTTTTATAATTTTTTCTGATACATAAACATGAACTTATGTTGTGTAAAAAATTTGAGCTGATTTTCACCAAAATTGAATTTTTAATGAATTTTTAAAGCTACTCAAAAATCAGGCCAAAGTCCCTTTACTGTAACAGTAGAGATTTTGGCCAAATTTTGTCAAAAATGAAAAGGAGAGAATTTTTGCATTTTTAATATTTTTTCTGATTCACATGCATGTCCTTATGTTATGTATCAATTTTGAGCTGATTTTGATCAAATTTGGATTTCTTATGAATTTATAGTTACTCAAAAATTGGACTAAAATCCCTGTACATGGTCTTTGGCCAAATTTAACTAGGAGAAAATTCTCCCATTTTTATAATTTTTCTGATATATGATATAAATGTTCTAGCAAGTTCGAGCTGTAAAATTAAATTTAAAAGTTCCACCAAAGATCTGTACATGTCTATTGTAGTGCCTGCAAAGTTAATTACTTTAGCATGCTTTGTGGGAAATTATGAATGTACTTGTACTGGCAGAATAGATATGTCAATTTTTGCTACATTCTGATATGTTACGTTTAGATAAAATTTTGAGCTGATTTTGATCAGAGCATTATTGATTCATGACCTCAAAATCAGGCCAAACTTTATGTACAACTCTCAGAGACAAATTACCAAATTACCCCAGTGTACTAGCAACTAAAAATTCAATTTATTGAAATCACTCATTAATGTATTAGAAGATAAACTGGAAATCATTATAACTACACTGACCTTGCCTCTAAACTTCTAGGCCACTGTTCATTGAGAAGATGAGCTGCTGGTTCAAGGAGATCACGTCTAAACTGAAGCTCTAGTACCTCATAGTCAGCAGCCATTTGTACACCCACGCATACTTGAGAGCTTGATCACGTGACACGTTTCAGTACTCCCAGTCCCAGTCCCAGTAGAGATGCTGAAGCTAAGCATTCCTCTAAGATGCAGCATGAACTTGGTTTGTCATGCTGCGCATTAATTTAAAAATTCTCTTGCCTGCAGTTCATCATTTTTATCTGATAGGCAGATTAATTATTGGGTTAAGTTGAATTGAATATGATTAGACTTCGACTCTTAACCGTTGGCAATAGCGCATTCTTGTCACTAGCATACATGCAGTTAGCATCAACTATATAAGATTCATATCAACCATTTCAGTGAATTATCTAGACTTTAAAACAGTATGAAGT